GAAAAGTAAGGATCTCGTGGCCGGCCATGGCATCGATCAAGTGATCGATGTTGGGCAGTGGATAAGAATCTTTGGGGCATGCTTTATTCAAGTCCTTGTAATCTATACACATTCTAAGTTTGTTTCCCTTTTTAGGCACTACGACCACATAGGACAATCATTCGGGGTATTTTACCTCTCTAATGGATCCTATTTTGAGCAGTTTAGTTACCTCATCTTTTATGAATACGTGCTTCACCTCCGATTGGGGTTTTCTTTTTTGCTTCACCGGTCTGAATCTAGGGGACACACTTAGTCGATGTGTCGTTATATCCGGCGGGATTCCTGTTATATCTAAATGGGACCAAGCAAAGTAATCGATGTTATCGATAAGAAATTGAATGATTTTCTTCCTGAGTTCGGGTCTCAAACCCCTTCCCAGGTATACCTTTCGTTCGGGCCAGTGATCGTTCAAAATGATCTGCTCTAATTCCTCAATAGTTGATTCGGTGGCATCGGAGTCATCGGGGGTCACGAAGGATCGAGGGATCCACTGATCACTATCTTCTTCGATGCTCTGCTTATCTGGCTGGGTTGGGGCCGATGTCTTAGGTTGCTATTTGGCGTTCCGGTCTTCGACTGTGCCTCCTTTTGAACCCGATCCATTCACTGGCGAAGACGAAGATGTTGGTTTTGCTTCTTCGATGGAGAACATTTCTTTCGCGGCTGGTTGTTCTCCGTACACTATTTTGACACCTGGTGGTGTTGGGAATTTGAGGACCTGGTGTAGGGTCGAAGGTACAGCTCTCATATTGTGGATCCACGGCCTTCCGATAAGGGCATTATATCTCATATCGCCTTCGATCACGTGAAACTTTGTTTCCTGAATTGTTTTGGCGACGTTTATCGGTAGGGTTATCTCGCCTTTGGTGGTTTCGCATGCCATATTGAATCCGTTTAAAACCAAAGTTGCGGATACGACCCGGTTTTGTAGGCCGAGCTATTTTACGACCTTCGATCTGATGATATTGGCAGAGCTACCTGGATCAATTAACACACGCTTAATCTTAATTTTATTCATGAGTACGGATATTACCAGTGCATCGTTATGGGGTTGGATGATTCCCTCTGCATCTTTATCATTGAACGATAAAGTCCCTGGGGGAGTGTAATCTTGAATTCGAGATCGCTTTTCCCTCACAATCAACGTTTTAGCGCGTTTGAGTATAGGTCCCTGAGGGGTATCGACGCTGCCGATGATCATGTGAATAATATGCTGTGGCTCTTCTTCTTCGTTTTGCTTGCCGAAGTCCCTGTTTTTAAAATGGTTCTTCGCCCTATCACTCAAAAATTCCCTGAGGTGCCCTTTGTTAAACAAGCGGGCTACTTCCTCTCTTAATTGTCTGCATTCTTCCGTTTTGTGACCATGGGTGCCATGATACTCGCATATTTGATTGGGATTCCTTTGGGCCGGATCGGTCTGCATGGGTCGAGGCCATCGGGTATCTTTGATGCGTCCGATGACCGATACGATGGCGGATGCATCGATATTGAAATTATATTCCGATAATCGAGGAATTTCTACAGGATCGGCATGTTTATCAAAATCTCTCTTGCTCATGAGTCCCCGAGAAATTTGCCCCCGATCATATCTGTGGTTATTCCCAACTGTCTCATGCGCCGAACTGTGGTTCACCCGATTTGTGACATACGGTTGATATCGGTCTTTGTTTGACCTTAGTTCTCTGTTGGTTTCCTTCAGAATTTTAGTGGTTGCGTGGTTCTGACGCGTGGGTTCATACGGAAAACCCAATTGATCATCTTCGACCCTGATTTTCGATTGGTACCGATTGTGTGTATCCGCCCAAGTTATTGCAGGGTATTCGATCAAGCTTTGTTTCAGCCGACGTGATGTTGTCGAACTCAGTCCGTTCAACCCTTGGGTGAAAGCTTGTACGGCCCAGTCGTCTGTGACTGGTGGCAAATCCATGCGTTCCATTTGAAACTGGGATACGAATTTTCTCAGTATTTCGTCACCCCTTTGTGTTACTTTGAATAGATCCGATTTCCTCGTTGCGACCATTACGGCACCAGCATGTGCTTTTATGAACGAATCTGCTAACATGGCAAAAGAATCGATAGAATTCGGCGGCAAGTTGTGATACCAGATCATTGCTCCTTTAGTGAGGGTCTCTCCGAACTTTTTAAATAATACGGACTCGATCTCATCGTCTTCCAAATCGTTGCCTTTGATGGCACATGTATAGGAGGTGAGATGTTCATTAGGATCGGTCGTACCGTTATATTTGGGAATTACGGGCATACGGAACTTTTTTGGGATCGGTTTCGGGGCCGCGCTCGATGGAAAAGGCTTTTGTATGAATTTCTTCGAATCCAGCCCTTTCATCATGGGCGGAGCCCCCGGGATCTGATCGATCCTAGCATCATATGTTTCGAATTTTTTGTCATTGGCTTCAACTCGTTTTGTGAGTTCCTCGAGCGGTTTAGCAATTTCAGGAGCGGTTCCTGATTTTTGCTCGTTCGGTTTCACTGTGTCGGGCTCCGTTCTGGGGGTTACTTCTCGAAGAAGCGGATTGGAGTTTGGATTACTTCGCATATGAGTTTGGCTCTGCAACTGAGCTATCGCTACTTGTTGGGCTTGTAGCATTTCGAAAATCATGCGCAAGCTGACCCCGATTTCTCCCATGTTGTGGCTGTCTCGGGCTATGGGTCGAGCGCCACCATGAATGCTTCTTTCCTGCTCGGAACGTTGATTCGCTTCTAGAGCTATTCGTGAATTGATATCTACTGGTACTTCGGCTTGAATTTCGGGTTCCTCGATTCGAGCCTCGTTATCCTTAGCCCCACAGTGGGCGCCAAACTGTTTATCCCAAAAATCGGATAAAGTTGAATTTATGTATGGTTCTAAGGACAAGTAGATTCCTCTGATATGAAAATAACAATGCACGTATTTATAGCGCAAAAATAGAAGATGATGAACAAAGATATTAGGTGAGCTTTAGAAAGATAAACACAATAAATTCTTAATCCCAGTGAAAAATGTCTTCTATTATAAACTCTCCTCCCTTTTATAGCCAAGGATTGCTACTTTATCTATAGCAACATGATGGAATAAATATTACTAGTGGAGGACCCATGATGGTATGTCTCCTCCTTAATTCCCGCAGAGATTCTCTCCTTTGGTGCGGTTGTAACAGCTTTTGTCTATGAACTCGATACCGACTCGAGCTCGGTACCGGATCGGAACCTCGGCCTTGATTTCGAGCTAGGTGATCACTTTCGGGCATCGATGTTCGGGACCTGTATCGACCGATGTTACCTCGGTCGATTCGAACGCCCGGGCTCGACGCCCCCATCTCGGAATTCGCTCGGGGTCTCCATGGAGGTGCCCCTCGATTGAAATGCCATCCTCGATCGATCTTCACGACCGAGGATCAGTTTTAACCGTATACAAACAGACAGGTTAGCCAAGCAAGGTTAGACGATGGAGTACTCAGCATCACCAACTATTTTTTGTCTCACCACCCATTTTTGTTATCGAACAACTAAGAGCAAATCAGTCAGGCGTCACAACTCTCCGGAAAGTACCACCTGCTCAAGTATGGCAATCTATCAGGCTTGACACTCAAACACCACCTTTTGATTCACATCCGGCGAACTTGTTGGCAACAGACATTCACCCTCTGCAACATGGTGCTGCACATGGAGTTACTATAGTAGAAAACTCCCCTTTTTGTAATGATTCTTTGGATCAACACTCCACAATACATGTTAGTAACAGTTCTACTAGTAGTATTTGTAGTATTAGTACTTCAATGGAAGTTATGCCTGGAGAATGTTACGGCGGATGCAGTTACATTGAATCTCTGGGAATTGAATAGCCGGCGTTGCTGGATCAAACATTCCATCACCTTACCTGAAGAAATAGTGAGGTGTAATAGAGAGAGCTGGTGCAGTGTTGGTAACCTTCCAACAGGTGAGATGCTGCTGGCTAATCCTAAAGCTAATGATGATTCTGATTTCACCCCATACTTATTCTTATGATCACTCCACTGGAGAGTTTCAGAGGTTTGTGATTGGCAAGTTTCCACCCTGTATGGTTGCCGCTGGTGAAAAATCTTCTTTTCAGATATCTTGTGTCGAATTAGACAACAACAGTCATTCCCTTGAAGCTTTATTGTGCAGAATTCCAATTTCAGCTCTTCTATATTTGGAGAAACTTAGGAGAGAAAGAGAAACGTTTGGAGTAACTATAAGAAAAAAAATTGTTTGAAGAACATGAGTATGAAACCGCAAGCTAAGTGAGTCTATTTAGTAGGAGTAATTACTATTTTGGTTATTTTATGCATATGTTCTATTGTCTAGTGGATATGAACAGAACTATTGGTATGTGTTTTTAGGAGTTGTTGGATCCGGAACAAAGAATCATAGTTCGCTCTTAGAAGATTTGATTTTCAGTTATCTATTACTCAAAATATTTTCTTTTTGTGCATTTAGTTTTTGACATCAGTTGAGCCTATATATTTTTGTGACGGAATCAGAGTTTAGTGCGCATATTTATCTTTAAAAATTAAACCAATGCGGTCGTGCTCATTTATCTAGACTGCTTTCATGTTCTGGGGATAAATTTCTAGTTCTTTCTTTAAATTAACCAATGGCATGTATATCTCAACGGACAAATGCGGATCCAGGATAGGAAACACAATCTTTCAGTAAATCGACTCTCTGTTGCCCTTCTGTTTCTTTTCCGATAACCAAAAAATTCACTATTTCCATCTTGAACTATTCACTTTGAAACTCGATGAATAATAAACCTACTCATCTTGAGTCAAACAAGTATTTTCTTTTGGTTTTTAGTGTGATAGTAAACACAATCTTTGATTAACCCCCTGTTATTCAGACGAAAAGTCAAAAGTATCGAACTATGTTTACCTACTTTGATCATTTCGTCACAACCTGACAAGCACAAGAATTACAGATTAACTTTGCAGCAGAGCCTGTGGAAAGTTTTCATGAGCTAAAATACAAACTGAGAACGATATCAAAACATTACATTAATGAACAAAGCTGGAAAACTCTAAGTTCTGAGTGAATCTTGTCCCAAACAAAAAATGGTTAATTTTGTAAACCAAGAGAACTCTCAAGTGCCACCCTCATTCTAACAAGATTGACTCTTTTACTCCGTGAACACGATTGAACAAGCTCTGGTCTTAGTACCATTTGCTATTAGGACTGCCAAAATTAGTAGCTTTAACCTATACAAGACAACTGATTCGGGATAAAAGGGAAAGAATTTTACCCATCCTTGTGTTACATATAGAGTTGTGAAGTATTAATCAGCAATTCGCTCAAATTTAAGACTCCCTTCGTCCAATATAGCCATGTGCTTTCTCTTCTTGGATAATTTAGCAGTTTGAAACCCATTTTGCTCAGTACTAAATTGAGCAGCTGTGCGAGCGCGTAATTCCTCTAAGCTCTCACCTTCCTTGGCTCTCTCCAGAACCTGAGATGGAACATACACATACACAGCATATTATTTGGTGATATTTAGGTAGATATACACAATGTCTGAGAATTGCACGATGACATACCAAATGGCGCCCATACAAGTGAGTATTGGATAGAGCTTCAATGGCATTCTTTGCCTCTTGTTTCGTAACAAACTCTACAAATGCAAAACCTCTATGGTTCCCAAATCTCATCGGCAGCCTTAAGCTCTTTATCTGTAGGATGAATTTAATTTGATGTCAAAAGGGAAAAAAAACGACGTTAAACAGCTATGAAATAATGATGATACAAAAATAGCATACATGTCAGACTTTCACGGAATCAAAGCATTGCTTGGAATGGTTTATCCTTGACCTAGCCCATAGTAGCTAGATCACCTACCATGCATCATTCTGTCTAAATTAACATTTTTCAGACTCGTGATTTCCATAACTTATTTTGTTACCCACGACGCTTGACCAAAAAGCATTACAAAGCAGAGAGAATCCGGATGCTCATTTAAATCTGCATAAAATAGGCTACCAGGCAAAATTGAAGTATGGGACCCTATAGTTTAATCTGTTTTTTGTTTTTCCAATCAAAGTTATATACATCACAGCAAAAAGAATATGTAGTACTCAACGGATTTTAGAATGATTAAGAGCCAAGGATAATGTGCCCATTCTTCTACCCTTCTCCACTTGAATATCAAAACGATTAAGTAGCTTTTATTTGATAGTCACAATTGATTTTTCATTGATTATTAGTTCCGAATTATACATTTGAGTAAATTCTAACTTGAATATCAGACGATAAGAATGTTAATTAGGTAATCAGAATAGATCTTTCATTAAAAATTAACAATTTCTAGGTATTAAATACATAAATCCTACACTTTTATTTCGTTTAACCTGCTTTATATCGTGGTCTAAACCAACCAAATGGAAAATTGTGAGAGCAAGAAACTGCTACATAAGAAAAAGCACATTGCAACAGAGACACTACAAACCCTTGATCTCGATTATCTTAGAAGAAACAAATTAATATAATTAATCGGTAAACGTCAGTTTTAAGGATTCAGACCAAATTGAAAAGGAGACACTACAAACCCTTGATCTCGATAATCTTAGAAGAAAAAAACTTAATTCGGTAAAACTCACTTTTGAGGACTCAGACCAAAAGATCAGCATCAGTGAAATTCTACGAGTTCAAGACATATGAAGCTTCTCTCACACGGACTCAAATTAAAACGCTTCGGATATAATACATCCCCGTGTCTCACAGCCATATTTCTCCTCAATCAACATCTAGCTTGGGCGATTTTAACACCAAAAGACCTAGTATCACCATTTTACTACATAGTATCACCATAAGATACCAACAGTTAGAGGAATTACCTGCCCAAATGGACTGAATAGTTGCCTGAGATCTTTTTCAGTTGCCTCAAAAGCAACATTCCTAACAAGCAACTTAGTCGAGCTCTTGTCATTCTCAGTTTTCTTTGGAAGTTGACCATCCTTCTTAGTGTGACAAAGTTGCAATATAAGTGCATGACCATCCAAAACAGTGCCCTGAATGACAAGAGATGGGAAGTTGAAAAATTGGTTGTAAGTGCCCCAAACGTATGGATAGAATGTTAAAAAAAATTCAAAAAGATTACCTGCAAATCCTTGCAAACATTGATTGCTGTATCAACAGAATCAAATTCAATGAATCCAAAACCCATTGAGACATTCTTTCCGTTCTTTACATGCTTCTTCACCTTCACAGAATAATATTAACAGGTGTCGGAGGAAGATGAGTCATTTTCTCAGGCAGCAAGGAAATATTCTTCCAAGATAGTAAAAGTCTCAGCATAAAAAAGAGCCAAAAGAACTTACTCTCACACTTAATATTCGTCCATCCTTTATGTGTTGAGTGAAATGCTCTTTTAAACTCTCATCAGACGTCTTGAAATTTAGGTTCTTGACATACAGTGATCGTGACTGGAAAGGTGGAAAGCAAAAACATTAATCGGTTACTGAAACATGAAAAGAAACCTGGAAACTCAAGGCAGCTAGAAAAACAAACAAGAGGCAACAAGGGATTTCTAAAACTGTAATGCTTTTCCCTGTTACTTGTTTCCTGTAACTGTACTTTTTTGCCTTTGTTATTAGGAATAGCATGAATCTTTGGTAATAGTAGAGCAGTTGAACCAGCATCCATGAGAATTAAACAGTCTGCTGATACCTAGAGTAAAGTCCATATCAATGTTATTTATTTCTGATGATTTACGGCGAATCTATCTCCTTCTTCCAATCCTTGATTTGCAGACTATATGCCATAACCCATCAAAACCACTTAGATTCATATGGCAAGCCATAGTTCATTACCAATAAAACAAAAGTTAGATGAATGGGTAAAGACTAAGTTTAAGAAAGTGTAATATATTCCATATTTTTTTGTATGACAAAAACAACTGCACCTCGGTCCCAAGCAAGCTGGGTTCAACTATATGAAGCCTCACTATTCATGTTGCTCTATTTAAGCCTGTCTTAATGCAATCTTATAAAGACATAGTTTCTCTAGTATAAGTTATTTAAAATTTCTTCTTTTTTTTAAAATTCCTAAAAAAATATTGGACATAAAGTAAACGTACTAACATGACTAAGACTTAATCCCAACTAATTGGTATTGCTTATATAGATCTTTTTCTTCCATTGTCCCCCTACTTCTCTGCTAGATCTATTCCATGTGTGTAAACAGGCAAAATTGAACGAAATTAAGGATGATGTTGACGTTACAAACTTCTTTAAAATGTTACACAGATGCTGCTCTCTTGAAGTTATGTGTAGTTGTCTGATACCAGTCATTTTCTCCCCTGGGTGTGTGTGTTGTGGGGGTGGANTATTGTTACTTCATAATTCCAGACTTTCAAGATTCAATCAACATATGTAAAAAATTAAATGCAGCAAAGGTGATATAATGCTAGAACAACAAAAGGTTAGCTAGGAGAAATCTCAATCTTGCAAAATCAAAAATCGAAAGGTATTTTAAAGTAAGCAGGAAATAGACGCCAAGTTTCGTCAAGCTTGAAAAGATCATGTGTCCAATATGAGTTACCAACTTAGCCAACTTTTTGAAGCCAAAAGAAAAAATTCAGGAACTCAAGAGAGGTTCTTTTGGTGGAAATTTCCCAAGACCCCATTATTGATTTTACCACTCAATTTGATTGCTTATACAACATAAAAATCGTAAGCCCACAGCTGCAACTATTACATAAGTCGATTGCAGAGCATGTATTATATTATTTAAAGAAATAGTTAAACCTTTAGTCAAAAGAAACTGAAGGCTATTTGAAAGCAAGAGCTCAAACAATCAAGACATGGCCACCACATGGCAACTATCAAAATACTTAAGCTATCCTAATCCTGCTTTGTTGTCAATCATGACATGAAAATACCGTTTTCACATATACTGCTACTTGTTAAACTAAGAAAATCACCTTTGTATTAAAGGCAAGAAATGAATGTATACACTTACTTGTAACGTTTGTATGCTAGACCCCTGAAAGCTGTGCGTGCTTCTGCTGGTTCTAGGAAGACAACCTGATTGTTATTAATAACAGAAACAGCAACAATCTTGTTATGACCAACTATTTCCCAGATACTCACACAAGCAGAATATTGATCTATTAATATCAAACCGGAAGTTTCCATAGGTAATAGTGTTTAAGGCACGAAAAGAGTGACTATTACCATATTGTTTTTCTTAATAATTAGACTATTTCCAAAATGCACTATCGGGAAAGTAAGAAAAACAGATAGAGAACATTAAGATCAAGAATTTTCATTTTAAACAAAAGTTTTCAGAGAATTTCAAACAAGAGGCTACAAAGCTAAAAGCACCTACCAGAGCTAAGGTTTTGGTGGGAGGAAGAATAATCTTGTCCAGGCTCCCAAACTTTCCAAACAAATTCGCAAGTTCACCTTCTGACGAACCATAAGGCAAATTCTTGACTAGAATAACATGATTGCTTCGTTTCACTCCATCAGTTTTCCCAGCAGCATATTCTTCCAATGACGCAATATTAACTCCAGATTTTGCAAGTGCCTTTTTGGTCTCAGCTATCACTTGAGTCTCTCCCAATGCTATACGTACTGCAAGATCATCAGCTTCTCTATCAAGAAGATCACTTTTACTCACTCCAAATTTTCTTGCAATATTCTCGACAACCTAAATATTCCAAAGAACAGAAGGAGATCATTTTTCCATTCAACAGCACGTCCAAACACTGACACAGTATGATGCATGCTTAACCCAAAAGAGAACAAAACCGAATCATCTTACAAGAAGAAGAATATACTCCAACAGGAACTAAAATAACCCCAATCTGATCATAGGAATCAACATATACTCAATCAATTAAAGCAAACATATCCAATCTGTAGAAGTTGCT